GTAATGCGACAGCTACTGTCACATGAAAATGAGCGTTTACACCGTGACGTTAATCGTCATAGCAAATATTGGGTTTCGTGCGATAGCTAATTAAAATTGACAAGTGTCATTAGATTATTTTATTATAATTTATAACTAACTTATTGTTTTAATATTTATAATATATAATATATAATATNCACGCCAGTCGACTCTCTGACAAATTTCAGTGTACCAAAAATATTCTATCAGTTTTACATGTCAAAATAAAGTCTTATGTTCATAATATTCTACAATTGACTTAGAATTATTTACACCTCGTCATCTCTTGTCTTATACACCACGATCTGTGGGCTGGACGCTGGACCACTACAATATCAACAATTTTAATAAGTCTAATAATCAAAATATCACTTTTTTAAAAGATTATATATTTTGTTTATATATTAGGTAGGTATTACATATTTAAGCTATGATAATTCATAATGTTATGATGTATTATTGAAATATTAAACTTGTTATTTACCAAATGAATAGGTATGTGCAATGATAATAATTAATTATGGATTTTGGTTAGACTTAGGATTAGACTCTTTTATAATAACCTAAACATTATTATCAAGTTTGATAGGCATAAATGTTGAGTTCTGTACATTTTTATAGTTTGAAATTAAAAAATATCATCCAAATACCTAGGTATTTCAAAATATAATTTTAAACACATCATCATTTGTTTCTTATTCATATTTAAAAAGTTTGCAATTTTATTATATATGTAATTGCATAACAAAATTAAATTATATTAAATGAGTACAAAATAGGTACCTATTCTGGCTATACTTTATGTTTGTTATTTAAAATTTGACATTTTTATTTAAACAAATTATTTTACTTCATTTCCATAAATATTACAATAAATATACAATAGTATTTATTTCTTAATACATTTTACTATGATTTGTAAACTAAAAATTATTTTCTCCATTTCAAATTAATTTAGTGAGATATTGGTAAATATCAAACTATATGCTAGGTACACCTATTAATATTTATGTAACATATATCTAGACATACTCCATATAATTTGTTAAATATCACTGTAATTGTTATTATTTATTTATTATTTTTAAATTTAAAATGTATGCAATCTATATATTATTATACTCTCTTTGAAAAATATTTGTTATCTACATTTTTTGCATTTTAATTATTGTTTCATACAAAATAAATAGCAAACAATTAATTCATGACTTAGATATTAGCGTATATGGCCTATTTAATAATTATATAGCTAGATACCTAATATATCGATGCGCACACATGTGTTAAGTACATATTTATGCATTTTTCAAGAATGACATTCAAAGATCTAGGAGGGTGTCAGGAGGAATAGTCATAAACATTTCTTGTCAAATATATTATATTTAAAATTGTTAACTTCCTGTGAATAATAATAAAACAAAATAAAATCATAAATTATAATAACAAACTTAGGGTGATTGATCTCAGTTAGCTAAGACATTACTTAACACAAATGACAGTTTAATTAAAGTATTTATCACATTTGTTACTAATTATTAACTTGTTAAATAATGAAAGATCAGTGGTAATAACATACCTAGTTAAGTCTTTTGAAAGAAAGGAACTTCAGTTTTGAAGTTGTAAGTCATTAATTTTGAAAAGAATATTGTCAGTAAGTACTAAATAAGACAAATGTCTTCCCTTAACAAAAATTTAAATAATAAAACATTAAAATAAACTAAAACTAAATTAAACATCAGTATTGTACTTTAAAATGCAAGCAATTTTCAATCGAACTTTTACTCATCATCATAATAACCATCAGAGACTCTATTTGAAATATATTTTTTCGCAGTAGGTAGGAATTTCTTCAAATGAATGTCTGTATTCTTCTGGTATAATGTTTTTGTTAAGTACCTAATGACATAAAATCTTTTTTCTTTTCTATACTTATTCCATTCTCTACTATTTCTACTATACTATTTCTCATAGTCTTCTCTCATAAAGCTGTTTTGCGACTATAGTCGACCAGTCTAATAGATCTTTATGTTGAAGTCCTGTTTTTCTATCTAGAGTTAAATCAATTTCCAAAAATGATGAATCGTCTAGATTATATTTGAATTGAATAATTATAGGTTTAGATTTTTCCACTCTGATCGATTTAACTTTTATCCAATTGACTTTTTGGTTTGTAATAGTGGTTAATACATTTTTAACAGTTCTTCAAACTAAATCTTTTATAAATATAAACATGATATAAAGTCGTTAATAATTAAGAAAAAGAAAAAGAAATTAACAAAATAGAGAATAAATAAGAACAATATAAATAAAGATAATATAACAATTCAGTATTAGAACAAAATGTATGCTGGATGGTTATATCTTATAGGTATAAGCATAAGTACAAACTAGGTTAAACCTAAAATACAGTAAGAAATAGATAAATAAGAAGGACACTTAATATAATACATATACACAATACATTACATACAATTATTAAAGTAATACATTATTTATATATTTGTATACATTTTAAAACTGTTAAAATCATGTAAATTAAAATTATATTTAATACAAAATGATATAAACTTATATTTAGTGTTCTGCTGCCCGAATACTGTATTCGTTTTGGGGACAATGACATTAGTATTAGCCTTAAAGCGAGTATTATAATTATGACATGGAGCATCAATATAGGTTTTCATATTAGAAAATAAAAGTCAAATGTTCTTTGTGTATAAAGCTTTTAAATTGAATACCTCTAATTCTTTATATAAATTAATAGTAGGAAATAATGCAGGCTTATTGAAGATAAATTTGAGTATTGAGTTTAAAGTTATTTCAAGATGCCGAAAGTGAGTATGATATGTTCCCCCCCAAAAAGAAATTCCATAAAGCTGCGGTCGCACGATGAGAGTAGATTGCGATAGTCACTGTCGTGAAAAAATATGATAGTTTGCTTTCACTATCAGTACCTGTTCACACGCGTGTGCACTTGTATGATAGTTCAAACAACCTTCCCAAACAACAACATTCAAACAACCTTCCCAAAAATATGATATTGTCATTCTGTGTTCCGTTGTTCGTACCTATTTAATACTTATATTATTANAGCCGCATTTCGTTTTTGCCGATTCTTAAAGTCAGGTATACATTTATCCCACAAACAAGGATGCTCTTCGTAATGTTTTAGAAATTCAATAGTATCAAAAACCATTTTGAATTATTTAAATTTAAAATTTAGATTTAAACATTTAAATGAATTAAAAATTAAAATTGTACTTGTAGGTATACGTGATAACAAGTAATAATTGATAACAACGATACAAAAATCGTACGGTAGTAGTTGACAGTGTGGTAGTCACTGTTTACACGATAGAAGTTGCTGTCACACTGTCAACTATTACTATCAACTATCTAGCAGAGCTAGATAGTTCGACAGCTGGTAGTTGACAGTGTGGTAGTAGCTGTCGTTATGTTTACACGATGGAAGTCTCACGACAGCGACTATCGTGACGGCGACTGTCGAGTGATACTGTCATCGTGTAAACGCACCTTAATGCCTGATAGTTACTGTCATGAAAGTGAAGTATCCATACGCTTCAAAAATTATAGTTTAAGCTGCGGTCGCACGATGAGAGTAGATTGCGATAGTCACTGTCGTGAAAAAATATGATAGTTTGCTTTCACTATCAGTACCTGTTCACACGCGTGTGCACTTGTATGATAGTTCAAACAACCTTCCCAAAAATATGATATTGTCATTCTGTGTTCCGTTGTTCGTACCTATTTAATACTTTTATTATTATTATAATAATATAATAATTAAAAAAAAAACGTTATACTGTTCTTATATTATATTTTTCATTGACTATTAAAATGTCCATCGATGAACTAGAGCTGGCAATTGTGCGAGTTATTGAGGAAATCATAAAATTAAAGAGGGAAAATAGAAAAGTAGCCAAAAAGAAATTATGGGTGAAAACGTGGATCCTAAGAAGGAATCAATTAGGAGCGTCTAACACATTGCTGAGAGAATTGGCACTCGAAGACCAACAAAGTTACTTTAACTTTTTACGAATTAATGAAGCCATGTTCTATGTTTTATTACAAAAGGTAATTATTTTACGTCAATTTATAGTATAATGTATTCTATTGTATTTATCAGAGCCGTCCTAACATTTTTATTAAAATAATTATATATATACATATTGATTAATATAGTATATTATGAAAATTATATGTGAAACTATAATAAATTATTATTAATAATACTAATTTATACGTGGATGATTATTATTAAAATAAGTTGAGTATCATTTGAATTTTTCATACCAATTTAAAAATTTAATGGCTCAATAATTTTACAGATTGAACCCAAAATACAAAAACAAGACACAATGATGAGAACCGCACTACCTGCTAAGCTAAAACTGGAATTGGCATTACGGTATTTAGCAACAGGAGATTCATATAAAACATTACAGTATATGTACAGAGTGGGAAAGTCATCTATTAGTGAGTTCATACCAGAAGTTTTTCAAGCAATTTATGAAGCACTAAAAGTATATATTGAGGTATAAAGGAAAAATAATAACTTTTATTGTTTAATTAAAACATTTATTTTTTTTGTAGTTAAAACAAAAATAACAATAAAATATGTTTTCTAAATTAAAAAAAAAAAAACCAACACTTTTTTGTACGATAGAAATTATACTTATACTTACATAATATAAAAAAATGTATAAAGCACTAAAAGTATATATTGAGGTATAAATAAAATTTCTTTTGTTTAATTATAACCGTTTTTAAACATTTTTTTTTTTGTAGTTTAAACAAAAATAACAATAAAATATGTTTTCTAAATTAAAAAAAAACCAACACTTTTTTGTACAATACAGATTATACTTTACTTAAATAATATAAAAAAATTGTCTCTGTTTCGTCTACCAGACTAAATAAACATAAATACAAATTTAAACTAATCACTTAATTTTAAATCACATAAAGTTGTTATAGTACACTGCTATGTTATTAGACTCAGATATATTGTTATCATGAGATGTTTCTGGCTCATCTTCAAATTCAACTTCTTCAATTACATTATTATCATCATAATCATAGTTTGTCTCATTGTGTACAATTTTAGTCAATAGTGCTGTAGAAGATGCTGATCTTGATATTTCGTCTAAACGAGCTTTAGTTAGCAGATTTTGAATTTTCTCTTGTAACAGAATGGATTCTTCTAATGGTAATTTTTCTAATTGAGCTGCAACATACTGTCCAAAAATAATAAATTCGTTTGTCTTTGATTTTTGTTCGCAAACAAATTTTAGTGTATTAACTGCTTTATCTAATGATTGATCATAATGTTTGTTAGACGTTTGGCCACTTTGCTTTTTAGTGCGTTTCCTAGTTGTTGTAGTTGTTTGAATTATATTTTGTGTCATACTTTGTGAAGCTACATTATTCAAAACATCACTATTATTTGAAACATCACTATTATTTATCGCCAAAGTAGTGTTTTCAAGTTCTTGAGATGGAATTGCCTAAAAATAAATTTATAATAATAAATTTTTAATAATAATAAAATCATAAAATATTTAATTTATATAATTAATTTTTAAGGTCCCACTTGAAGAAACAAAATGGAATGAAATTGTCAATGGTTTTGACAATCTTTGGAATTTTCCACAATGCACAGGTTATTTTTTTCATCATATAGGCATGTAAGTCACAAAAGATGAAAGCATAATATTTATGTTATATGTTTACAGGTGCCATTGATGGAAAATATATTGTAATGGAATGCCCATCAAATTCAGGCTCAAATTATTATAATTATAAAGGAACTTTTAGCATAGTTTTATTGGCTTTAGTTGACCACAATTATAACTTTACCTGCATCGATATAGGAAGTTATGGAAGCAATTCGGATGCAGGAATTTTTGCAAAATCTGCTTTAAAAAAAGCATTAGAAGAAAATAAGTTAAACATGCCACGTGAAAGTGTTATTTTAGGAGATGAGGCCTTTCCTTTAGAAACTTATTTGATGAAACCTTTTCCAAGAAGAAATATATTATCAAAACGTGAAAAAATATTTAATTACAGACTTAGTCGTGCCAGGAGAATAGTCGAAAACGCGTTTTGAATATTTGCAAGTCGTTTTAGAATATTTAGACGACCAATTCCGTTGTCTCCCGATAAAACCATCTTATTAGTTAAAGCTGCCTGCGCTCTACATAACTGGATAAGAAAAGCTGGTAATAGTTCAAACAATATATCTGTTGACATTGAAGATATTGAAACAGGATGTCTTATAGAAGGTTCGTGGAGAAATGATCCCAAACCTTCAGGTTTATTGGATTTAACACCAATTCAGAGGAATTATGCAACAGATGCAAAACTTAAAAGAAATTATTTAGCAGACTGTTTTGTTGGAGTGAGGGCAGTTGAATGGCAAAATAAAATGATTGAATAATCAATAATATTTAAAATGTATCAATTTTTCCATATTAAAATATTTTTTTGTAACTTCTTATATATCTTAAAATATTATATCTTTAAAATAAAGCTTACAAAATTCGAATCAGATTCTCTCTGTCCTTCATTATTTTTTTTCAAAAAGCTGTCAGCTAATGTAAACCAGCTTAATTTTGGTACATACACATCATGTTTACCAGATCCTGTCACCATAGATGATCTTACTTTAGCTGTCTCTTGATTATAAGTACATCTGAAATAAAATATAACAGATTTGTACTTTGGAGGAAAAATTAAAATGTGAGTTGTAATATTATTATAGGTATAATATGTAACACATACCTTATACTCCTAATCTTTTGTCTCAGTTGTTTAATGTTGGGTAGTTTAGTAAAAGCAAGCAGTGCTTCCTCAGCTGCATCGCGTTTGTGTCGCAGTTTATAGTTCGGATCCTTTTTAAGCCATAAACATGGATACCTTTGATATTCTTCTAAGAAGCTAATAATATTAAAATCTGACATTTTGAATTCAATTTTAAAAAAAACGAAAAAATAGAAATCTACCATGAGCACATGTCAGCGGTGCCAGAAGAATTGTAACTCAAATCGCCAGTAGAGAGCGCCAATATCGCCCAAATCGCCCATATCATCTTATCTATAAAATTAGTAATTACCACGATCTCGCAGAACTTGTGCTAAATGCGATAGCCAGTATTTTTTTTATATATATCTATAAGGAGAATTGAGAATAATATGTTGAGCTCCTTTCAACACATCCTGTTTTTTTAACTAAAAATAAATAAAATTAATAACCTGGTAAATTAATAAGGTAATTTAAAACAAAATAATGAAAGATTTTTTACTTTTTACAAAAAATAAACAAAAGTAATAACAATCTTAAGGTAATTTAAAACAAAAAATTAAAAGACTTTTTCACAAAAAATAAACAAAAGTAATGACAACCTTAAGGTAGTTTAAAACAAAAAAATAAAAGACTTTACTTTTAACAAAAAATAAACAAAATTAATAACAACCTAAAATAAGGTAGTTTAAAATAAAAACGAAATAAATTGGTAAACTAATAATATAGAAAATATTTAATATACAGATAGTATTAACAAAAAAATATATCAATAGTCACTCATCTTCTTCTTCAATTGAATTTAAAATTGTGATGGTTGCAAACAAATCATTAGAATCAAAGTTGGCTATTTTTCGTTTTTGGTCAGAATCATATATTTTTGAGTCAAATATATTTAACATTTGTTTTGATGGAACAAATGAAGTACAGCATTGTTTTTTAACACTGTTGTGTACTTTTATTCTGATCAATGCAACTAACATTGATTGTCCCATCCTATTCCTAACTTTAGTTTTTGTTGCATTCTTTATACTAAATATTCTCTCAACCACAGCATTTGAAATTGGTAACGAAAATAATCTTAATGAAAACTCACTGAGTTCTTTAAAAATATGATCTCCTGCAGCATTTCTCACTTGGGATAACGTAGCCCAACAGTTAATAAGTGTTATTTCATAAGCAGATTTGTTTGGAAATATATCGTTAAAACTGATTGATCCTAACTTCCTCCATTGAATTTCCAACAGATCTTTATTAACATTAACTCCTATTGAAAAACAAAAAATACATTTAAATATTGTGTATACTCTTATTATACTTATTTATATACCTTCCAAGTCTGGGAAAAAATCCTTAAATGAAACTCTTGGTTGTAAGCCAAAATCAAAACAAAATGATGGTGATAAATACTTAAGTTTTTCTATAACTTTTAAATTTTGCGGAAGTCTTTCTATTATTTCATGACACAAACGAAACAAAAATCTTGCTGCTCTTTCCATGATTAAATTTAATTTTACTTGATCAATGGACTGTTTTTTTAAACTTATTTTTGACTGTTCTTTAAATTGCTGACCAAAATCAACAGAATTACATGGTAAATGCGTTTCAGGTAACTTCAAACTATTCTGTAAAACTTGAATATCAATCACTCTAATAATATTATTATTTGAAATGTCTTCAAATATTTTTGTCATATAGTATTGTTAGTGCCAATATGTTATTCCTTTATCTATCATTTAATTATTAATTGTATAACGGTGGTCACACTGAGCCCTAGGCCAGTGGTCGTAGGCTCGGCGCGCCACAGCGGCGACGTGAGAAAGATGTAGTCAGTCAGTTCCTAGTCTTGTAAAGGTCCGGCGACTCCGTCTGTCCGCCGCGCACCTCCGTACAACCGCGACCAGTGACCCCGTTAGTAATACCGTTGTGTAAAGTAAACCTTGTGTTATATTACCGTAATTATATATTATACACCATCACCGACACAGTGTCTGTCGTGTTTGGGTGTACTGAGAATTGTGATATTATTAATAAAGTCTCTTTAATACCGTCTACACTCGCCTAGTGTCCGTTATTTCAAATCCTGACCCGTAATAATATTCATTTGAATATTAGCCGCTAACA